ACCCACACCTCGCTCAGCCAGTGAGCGGGAACCGGTCTGTATGTGGGATCCGAACCCTCGGCGGGAGCGCTGCCACGCTCCCAAGCGGCGCACTGTAGCAGTGCGCCACCGGGCCGGCCCACAACAGATGCTTTTAAAAGTGGTTCTAACATGTAATTGTCACAGGAGGAGGTAAAGATGCATAATCCTCTTTATTGTGTAAACGTTGGGGCAGGTGCAGGGGAAAGAAATGGAGATGGACTCTGTTGCTTATGGTATTTCCTCAGTTAAACCTACCCTAAAGAGCTGATAAAGTTTATTTAAACATTTATTATTTAAAAAATCCAAACTACTCTATATCTCAGAAGCAATGAATATACAAGAAGTTAAGAGATGAGCAATGATCTGCAAAATGAAGATAAAGCTTATTCCCAGGACTACTGTGAGGATTAAATGAGAGAATTCATGTAAAGCACCTGGTACCAGGCCTAGCATTAATAAGATGATCTTATACCAGGGGACACAGGAATACCTAAATTCTGCCTTAGTCCATGTCCCTTTTGACTTAAGGCTGCAAAGAGATATATGACCAAACATAGCAACACTCATGCCAGTCATGTGATGATGTCTTAATGTCTTTGTAAGCTTCACCACTAGAAAACTTAAAGAAATTAGTGTCTGAAACCTGGAAAATCCAGTTATGTGAAATTTTTTGTCCTCGATGCTGGCATATATTTGGGGAGATAAAAGGGGAAGAAAGAAGGTTAAATACTATGAATACCTCTTAAAGGCAAACCTTAACATTTTAATTTCAAATCAGCAGCATTTATAAACTTTTATAAATTTATATTTTTCGTTTCATGAGCTCAGAGGTCATATCAATTCCATTTACTTTTTTATATTTACTTTCCAAAAATTTTTATGAGCAATACTTATACTGAACCACAAGGTAATTTTAGACTCATCAGTGAATAAATTTGCATTTAAATAGAGCCAAAACAGGTCAGGTAAATAAGATAATATTTTCAGGATGGGCTTTACCACAATGAAAAATCAGGGAAGCTCTTGGGTCACGTGGGTATGTTAGTACAATAAATACAGTAACTCTAATCTCCTATGGGAGATGAACCTCCTCATTATCAAAGCTTATGTGTCGGCCCTGGACAATTAGTACTGTGCCTGAGATTGTGAGTTCATTATATTGTTAACGGATGTGCAAATCTGTTAACTGAAGCCCAGTATCCCACACCCTGGCACTTTCGTGGGTTCTGAGACTTAGTCTAGGAAAAGAAAACAGATGCTGCTATGTGTTATCAACATGACGTCATACTCTTCTTGAAATCATGTCTATGAGAGTCAGTTCTTTCTGAATTTCACCATAATGTTTGAGAATATTAACAACAATGCTCCACTGTTCTCATTTTTAAAATATTTCATAGTTTTCTACATTCAAATCCCTAGCTGTTGTACCAAGGCATGATGAACCCAATAATTGGTCAACAAAGCAACTAGTGAATTTTTGAGAAGCAAATGACAACAGAAAAACACCATTTTGAGTGAAAGTTGCAATTTCAACCTACCTTGTTCTTTCCACACTTAGTTCCATTGGCCACCATGCCTATTTCCTGAATTGCGTCTTCAGGATCAAACATTTTACATGTCAGGAAAGTTACTATACGTCCTTTCCAGGGCAAATTATCTGACCCACCTTGACAGAACAACTTTCCGCACATGGTGTCACTGAGGAAAAAGCCAAAGTTTATTGCAGGATTTAAATTGCAGTTTTATACAAATGCAAATCAGCTCTATGACTATCAATATTTAATTAATGGTATTTCTCCCTATAGCAGAGATTTCTAGTTGTACCTTATCTCAATTTCCTCCTTATTCCTTAGTAAGAAGACCTCTGAATATTAGCAAAATACATTGCTGCTCAAACAAGCAGCATTTCTTAGATTCCTGTACGGCTAATTTTTGCCAGTTGACTAAGTTCTGGGCAATGGGGAGAGAGCATAATCTTAAGCACAAATTCTAGAAGGTGACTTTAAATGAAGGAGCGTGACATATTCTTCAGCATTTTCTCCTTTTTGCTGATTGGCATGTGATAGCTGGAGCTGGAGAAGCCATCATAGACCGAGAGAAACACTTGGCAATGGAGGTCATGTGTATGACAGAGCTAGAAGATATAGAGAGGATGGATTCCTAACAGCACGGAGGGCACCTAAGAAATCAGTTTCTATTTTTATTTCAGCTAAAGTTACTCCTTTGTTTATGACTTGGAGCAGAATAATTCTAACAGATAAAAGCCCCAACTCTCACTATAGTTTTGTCAGTACAAAGCTGAGCCTCCCCTGCCACTCCACACTATCAAGTGGGGTCACTAACACAACTGTCTCCCTGTATCTGCAGATTAAACTACTCAGCACTCAATCAAGATGTCCACTTTCCACCAAGGTGACTAAAATTAAAACCAGTACAATGGTAGTCAATCACTTTACACAGAATTCAGAGGAGAGTTGTGAAAAAGGTATTCCGAAAGTGATAGGATCAGATTTTTTTAATGACTCTGGTCACAGAAGAAAATATTACTAAGGAGTGAAGGAAGGCATGCATTCTTTCCAAACCTGAGAAAATTTTTTCTCGAATCATTTGGGTAGAGCCATATGAGGATGACCTTAGGGCACAGGAAATTTCAGGCTGTCTCCATTACAGACAGCAACTACTAGGAAGTGACTAGGAGGGCTGTCTGTGGACAAATGAAATATTTGAGCCTCCAGTTGCTGAAATCATCCAGTGATTGCACAAACAGTTACAGAGACAATGGTGTGTGTGCAGAGGCTGTGGAGAAAAGATGGTACCCTACTCTCTTCCCACTACCCACTTACATATTGCCCTTACCCTGCCCTGTTTGTATTAAGTTTTACATAATTTTTTCCCCTTTTGAATCTGACCTGATTTCCTATGAAGGAGAGACCACAGGATATGATTGTCCTTTAGGCCAAGATTCCCCAAGGATATGACCCTATATCCAAAATATATGTTGTTTGGTAATATCTGTCATCCATCAAAATTAATGTTTAATAGAAACACTTCGGAAAATGATGATCTTGTTCTACTTGTTATTATAAATTACTTTGTATGTGTAAAATTCAGAGCAGGTACAAACAGTTTATTATAATTGGAATTTTAAAAGTTATCTTAAAATGCAGAACAAAAAAATGTAGAAAAATCTCAAGTTTATCGGGTGTGATACTCTAATTTTTTTCAGGGTATCAATACTAAAAATAAAACAAACTTTGATGGATTGTTAGGCTTTTCTCTTACCATGTCTTTTCTTTATGTAATTCCATGGCAAGTTTAAATGACACTGCACAAGCACTGTGTTGGTTATTTCTCTGGGTAGGCAAACATTTTTATCCCTAGACATAATCAAACATGCTAGATTGAAAAAGTACTTAAATTATACTGGGAAATGCATGGACAAATTCCCAACCAGGCCCATTCTCTGTTGTATGTTCCATCTCAAACATTCATTCTTCTGAACAATGACTTTACTTGGTACCATCTGCAACACACATCATGAGAGATTTGAAGAAAGAGATTTATTTTTTATTTGTCTTTTTAGAGTCAGCACTTCGCTGCAAACATGGCACATAGTAATCACTCAGTGAATGTATGTCAAATGATTGATGTTCAATCCACTTTCCCCTTAAGTGAAATAAATCAGGACGTGTGGCTGGAAGCGTGCCATCACCTGAGTGTCTGGAGCAGGAGGGCTCAAACAGCATGACACTTACTTTGCTTTGCAGGGAACGATCGTGTCATTCACTTTGTGGCAGTACCCGTACTTTGACCCAGCTTCATTCCTGTGGTAACATGACTTATCTGCAACCTTGGTTCCTGAGACCAGGCATGGTCAGTAGGGACATATTTGAAAAGAAAAGAGATAAGAAATTCAATGCTACAAAAAAACCAGTGTGAAAAGTACTACTTTGGCATAATTCCATTGACCATTGTCAGAAATACAGGCTGCAATAATCTGATAGCAAAGGAGCTTTCTGGAATTAAAAATAATCTTTTAAGTATTCTGTTATTAGATAAAGGCTATCTAAATTTTTGGAAGCATCTGCATGATTTACTGAAGGTTAAAAATCCATCTGAATATGAAGACTTAGCCAAAAGAGCTACAATCATCTTATTCATAGCCCACAGATAGATAATGGAATGTTTTCTTGTGGGTATGTGCTATCGTGACAACTTCCAGCCAGGCTTAGTCAAACTCCTCCTACGTGCCAGGCACAGGCTTAGGCATCACACATTTCATTTCTCATGTCATTTTCCTCAGATCCACATCAGATGGTCAATTAAACATAGTGGTTAAGAGCTCAGGCTTTAAGCATGACTGAGAAGCTAGCCGTGTGACCCTGGGCAAGTGTCTGAGTGTCTTAACCTCTGGGGTTGTTCATCTGTAATATGAAGATTCATGTAAGAGTGCCCACCTCATATGATTGCTGTGAAAATCAAATGAATTACTATATGTGAGCCACTGAGAACAGTGCCCGGTCAGTAATACGTGGCTGATAAATATTAGCCGTACTTATTGTCATTCCCATTTTATCAATAAGAAAACTGAGAATCATATTAAGTCACAGAGAGTCATGTAAGAGTGCCCACCTCATATGATTGCTGTGAAAATCAAATGAATTACTATATGTGAGTCACTGAGAACAGTACCCGGTCAGTAATACGTGGCTGATAAATATTAGCCGTACTTATTGTCATTCCCATTTTATCAATAAGAAAACTGAGAATCATATTAAGTCACAGAGACAAATAAAAAGCCAGCTTTATGCCCACAGACCTGTGTTTCATACTTTGCAGGTTAATTTTAAATAAATTTGTAATCCTTTATGAATTGTAAAATTTGGAATTTTATTCAAAATCTGTTTTGATCTTTTATGATGGTTCCCTTTAAATAGATGGTTTAAAAGATCTTCCCCATTCCAATATCAGATAAATATGTTCAATGTTAATTCAGTAGGTACTTTTGAACATATTATCTTTGATTTATGGGTATTTAATATGTATGCTGTTAAATTTCAAAATATTTTAGGGTACTCGATATATTGTTTTTTATTAACTCCAAACTCAACTACTTTGTGGTCAGAGAATGTGCTTTGTATGATCCCAATACTTTTAAATGTACTGAGACTTATCGTATTGCCCACAATGTGATCTATCTTGGTGAATGTTGTGTGCACATGAAAGTAATATGTATTCTGCTGTTTGGGGTTGAAAATTCTCTGAATATCACTTAGGTTATGCTGGCTGATTGTTCTATTAAATATACTCTCTTTTTTGGTTATTTTTATCATAAATTTTACTCTATAAATGTAAATTAAAAAGAAATTTAAAGGGTTTCACTGTTCCTCCTGCTCTTCTGCATTGCCATAGCCTTTTTATGGCCTTTTCTCCTCCTTTCTTTGCTCCTGGTCTATCCCCCAACACACCTGCCACCTCTACACACACACACACACACACACACACACACACACACACACACGCGCGTCCATGGGTGGGTTTACTTGTCTGAGCAGGATCTTAGGACTGCCAGATAAAATACAGGACACTCAGTTATTTTGAATTTTAGAAAAAACAATTTTTTAGTGCAAGTATACCTCAAACATTGCACGGGACATACTGGCACTAAAACAAAAAGTTGTTGTTTATCTGAAATTAAAATTTAACTGAGCTTATTTATATTTGCTAAATTTAACAACCCTAAAACTAACCTTCTGTCTTAAAATACACTTATCCATGATTTTGAGTAGTGGCACAGTTTCTGAGAATGGGACAGAATGGTCCTTTAACACTGATTAAACACTGTCACCTGGAATGATTTTTCTTTGCAGGTGCATAGAGAGCAGGCTCTGTCTTCCTACCTGGTCCCCACAGCTCGGTGCACTGCTCCTGCAGCGTAGGGCATGTCCCCATCAAGCAGTAGCCCCTCCCATTTTGGCAAGGGAAGCCATTGATGCGGAATCTATCATCAGGGCAATTACCAGATTTACCATCACACATTTCAGGCAGGTCACACTCATCTTTTGCTGGTCTGCACACCATCCCAGCCTTTTTTAGCTGTAGGAAAACAAAAATTGAGAAAAGATTTTTTTCTGCCTGCCTTACCCTAATACCTCAAATTAATGCAAATAATACTTCCTCCTTGGCCTATTTGGGCATGGTTGTTGGAGGCATCATTTTATTCCAATTTACCTTTGCATTATGTCAGTCAAAACCATCTCCTGTTATATCAATTTTGTAGATGTTGGCCAATGCTCTAAATCTTTAAGCAATCAATATTTCTAAATTTGTAGCACAAACACTAAAGAAACGTAAAGTAGAAAAGAACAGAAAAGAACCAAGCAACATCTTTGACGCAAAGAAGGAAGTTATTTCTCCCTTTACGGAATGCTTCTTTGTCAGGATTTTCAAGGAGATTTAAATCTGCAACTTCAGGTGGAAGTGAATCTTCCGTGTTAAGAAAGGTATGTTCACAAGCACCAAATCAGCCTAGTCTGAGACTTTCTCAGGCATCAAGTTTCCTAATCCTGAATTCCTTTTATTGTATGCTCAGATATTTCTTTTCAACTTACTTCTTCCTGTGGAATGATTTATCATGAGGGAGAAATCACCAAATTTTGCTTTGACATGTTAACTCCATTGTAATCTAGTACTGCCAATCCTGCAGTTTCCTCAAGGAAACCTTAGTAAGACAAATTCTCCCAATTATGTGAATCTGAAGAAGCATGTTTTTCTCTAGCTGATGTGTTATTATTGCATCTAACAACTTTCAATATCTTTATACAAGTTACAGGATCAAATCCAAATTGCAATCAGAGCAGAAGAGATGCTCCAAATTCAATCCCCATGGTTCCAGCCAGACTAGTCATGTAACAGCTATCACACAAACCTTGTTCATACCTTCTGCTACATCGTTGCTCTTTCTCTCTGTATCCTCACTTGGAAATTCCTTCTCTTTTTTTGTCTAAATCTAAATTTAAATTGATTCATTTTTTTCCAGGCCAATGAGAAAGCCTTCTTTCCCATGAAGGCTCCTGTGACCTCTTCAAAGCAAATCGCTGTTCCTACCTTCTGCATGTGATAGCAGGGAGACCTGCATTAGTGTATGGATTTGAATCTTGGCTCTGCTGGTGGCTGGGTGCTTAACTTTAGAAAATAAATTAAATCTCTCTGAAAATCCATCTCCTCATCTGACATCTACTCTACAAGGTCATTGTGAAAATTAGGTGAGAGTATACAAGAAAAGTATTATATAACTTTACCCTAATGACATGGGCATCTAATCATACATTTTATTTTCGTCTGTTTCATGTGCGTATATCACTGCCTAAAAGAAATAAATAGTAAGTTCTTTGAGAGCAAAGTCTGATTTTTCTTAATCTCCCATAATCACTAACAAATAGCACTTAATAAACACTTGATGAATACTACTTAAGTTCTCAAATTTATTTCCTGATGGCCTTTCTTATTTCTTCCCTATCCCTTTGACATTTAAAAATATTATACCAAACACTATGTATGGGCTGGTATCTGCATATTCATTCTGCAAACAGTTATTGAGTATTTAAAATGTATGAAATTCTGTGCTAGGTGAAGGTGAATCAGTCTCCTGCTTTTACGAGTCAATCTAAGGAGACAAACACATAAACAAATGATCACAATGTAGATATGCAAAAATAGAAAGCACAATAATAAAGTTTACCTTGAAGGAAAAGTCAAAAAAGTCTCAAGAAAATAACATGTTTTTTAAGAATTTCACTTTGAAGTGGCTTCAAAGGTTGAAGATAGGAGCACCCCCACACCATTCAAAATAAAACATTTTCCACCAAGCACATCGTTAAAGGCAGGTGCAATCAATTTTATGAGATTTGGTCCAAGAAGGCCATACGGCATCACAAGTGGCAGGTAGGAGTAACTAGCACTGGCTTTGGAGCTGGTCATATCTGGGATTTGCCCACTAAATAGTAGCCTTGCAATTTATTTAAAAATTTTTTTATTTGCATATATTTCTGTGTAGATCATGATGTTTTGATGTACATATACACAGTGAAATGATTACTATAGTCAAGCAAATTATCATATCCATCTCCTCACATAGTTAACTTGTGTGTGTGTGTGTGTGTGTGTGTGTGTGTGTGTGTGTGTGTGTGTGACAGCCCCTGAAATCCACTGTCTTAGCAAGTTCCCAGTGTACTATATGTATACAGTCTGGTCATCATGCTGTACTTCAGCTCTCCAGCTTTATTCATTCTACATAACTGAAACTTTGTACCTTTTGACAACATCTCTCATTTCCCCCATCTCCCTGACCCTGGTCATCACCATTCTACTCTCTATTTCTATATATTTGACCTCTTATGATTCTACATGTAAATGAGATAGATAATGCAGCATTTGTCTTTCTGTGCCTGGCTTATTTCACTTAGCATCAAGTCCTCCAGGTTTATCCAGGTAGTCTTAAATCATAGCCATGTTATTTTGCACATTTTCTGCTTGGACCTTCTATTTCCTCAAAAATAAAATGAGATACGGCCGGCCCGGTGGCGCACTGCTACAGTGCGCCGCTTGGGAGCGTGGCGACGCTCCCGCTGAGGGTTCGGATCCCACATACAGACCGGCCACTCACTGGCTGAGCGAGGTGCGGGTGCAACACTGAGGGTTGCAATCCCGTTGCCGGTCCCGGTCCGGTACGGGCGCGACACTGAGGGTTGCGATCCGTTGCCGGTCACGAAAAAAGACAAAAAGGAAAATAAATAAATAAATAAAATGAGATAATAATACCTACCTTGGAGGGTCATTGGAAGATCAAATAGGTCATGTATGTAAAGAACTCAGTGAGCACTTGATAAATGGTAAGTGTTATTATTTTATAGAAAGAAAAATATTGCCTTGCTTATATCACATAACATAATCACTGAGATGTTAATATAGAAAAAAATGTAATCATAATTATTAAAATATAATAAAATAATTTTACCTGGCACTTTTCACAGCATTCTCCTAATGCACATTGAAAACTTGCTTTGGTTTTACATGTTTTAGCATCACAACAGGTGTTGGTACATTCCTAAGAAATATAAGATAAGAATGCAAATGCCAATTACTTTTTGGTCCTATTTTAGCACAATTCATATTAAAATTTATTCATCGCACAGATGTTACTTTGGTAGAGTCTGGAAATAATTTTTAGGAAAATGAAATATGAAACAAAAGTTCACATTAGAAAAACTGAGATTTTGGAGCAACTGGTGGTTGGTTGTTTTTCTGAATTCTACTTACATCCTTTCTTTTTTTAACTTGAATATCTTTTCTAGTTCATCCATTCTCCCACAGTAATACTAAGAAAAGATCTATTCTTTTTGGTAAAGTATATGCAAAAACCAAGGAAAAAAGACAGTTTTTAAAATAAAATTCATCTAAATACTTACAGAATATAGTTAGTGAAACCCATCAGTTATGTACCTTACCCAGCAGTATATTCAATCTCTAAAACATGCACAAAAGCTAAAGATATCATTCTTTATCCAATTTTGACATTTAATTTAACTGTGGTTAAAGCAACACACTTAGTCTTGATCTTCCTGCTTTGTTTCTAAGAAATCAGAAAGCTTCCTGCACAAAGCATTGGAGAATCTCCTATCTCAGAAGCTTTCCCCTGCAGCTGTTTAGATTCCTATGGAACGGTGATACTTTTAGAGTTACATTTAAGAGTTAAAATTTAGTTCAGATATGAACATCATCAGGGAAAGATTACTCTTTCTCATAGAATGAATTAATTTGTAATCCTATTTCAAAGTTTCTGAAAAGCCAACCCTCTGAGGGCTTGATGTATAAGCTCATATTCGGTGTTAACAAGATGAGGGTAAAAAGCCCATTCAGAATCCTTGTTGCCCTGTGATAAGGGTGGGATCAGGGCTGGCACTTCAAATGGTAACGACTCCTGAGTCCCAAAGCAGGAAGAGCGGTACCAGATCCCTGTGCCGGGTGGTGCTGGGACCCTGGAAACAGACACACCTCAACCCAGATCTTGTCTCTCCCATTTGCAAGCTCTGTGATGTTGGGCACACAAGCTATTTATATGCCCTGAGCACTGTCACAATGTTGTGCCTAAAGTAATACTCCCTAAGTCATAGCCACACAGGAAACTTGAAGTATCTCAGCCAGAATGAGGGGGGGGGATGAGGATAGAAAGCCCAAGTTGGGGAGTGGTACTTTTTAAAAAGGGATGGAGAAGGAACCATGAAAGGAAAATTAGCGAGGTCTGGGAAACAGTGCAGGGTTCCTTGTCAAAAGACTGGCCTGACAAATACCTACAAATGAACATATCCAAAATTATAAGACACATACAATTTTGTGGTGGGCCACACATTCTTTTATAGTTTACCTTCTTAGCAATTGAAAAACAAGTTAGATCATTTTAGAAACTGCTTCGTAGTACCTCGGGAGTCCCACAATCGCAGTCCTCTCCCATTTCCACCAACTGGTTCCCACAGATCGGGATAGATATGATATCTGTCGGCAATGGAGCATTAAAAAGGCAATTTGATAATTTATCTTCAAAGAACTTGTCATAGCTGATGCGGCTGCAGGAGCTGAAGTCTGTGGGTATATAGAAGCTGGGAAGGTGGGGAAAGAGAACACAGAACAGAGCCATGCTTAGCACGTGGGGAGCAGTATCTAACACTGGCTATGGTGACTCCTACAACCTGCCGCCAGAGATCAAATCCATCCACAGACCAGCTGCTAAAATAGCAGCTCATTTGTACACCTGAATTAACCATCCTAGATGGACACAAACACCTCCAGCTTAATGAGAAAGTGTGGTCACGTCCCAAAGTGTATCATCCAGGTTGCTTTTAATAAAACAAAAGTGCTTCTGACTTATTCAGATAATCTTATTGAGCCTAAGGTCTTTTAGGGGTTGTGAAGTTCAAAGGGTAGCAAAATCATATTTATTTACATGTCTAAGAATTTACACTCCTTCATGTCAATACCTATTGACAGAATCTCTTCATCTGATAAAGATGAGGTTTAAAAATTCAGTAAAATCTGGGAGAGAGAACATAAGCTGTATAGCTGGCATGCAGCCATATGCTATCTTGTGAAGGGGCATGGGAGAATAGCCCCAGCTTGAGTGGGCTGGGGAAGGGGAATAGAAAAGAGGAACTGAGTGTATAAAAGAGATTGTGAGCTTTTTAAAGATCAGGTTGTCTGACAACTTTGCCTTTGGCAAAGCAGAAACGTGTAATCCTTTTCACAGACTCTTTTCATCCTCCTGTGAGAAGTTTCTTCTTTAATTAGATTTTTTCCCAAGAATCCTTTCCCTACCATCACCCTTTCTGAATTCATAGAATACTTGATAAATGCTAATGATTTCCTGAAACCAGGTTTTGTATAGATAAGATGATGAGTTGTCACAGTAGCAAAGAGACAATAAATTTATACTATGTCTTAGTTAATGAAAAATATTACATATGGATGAGGAGTAAGGTATTGGCACAGATACACATTCTTTCAATAACTCAGAACGTGAACCTGTTGTTGAAAATGACCTAAAGAGTAGAACAGTCTGGAGTGGATCAAACCAGGGACACACAGCATGTTCCCAGAGAGCCTCACCTTAGTGCTCTGTCCATCACGCATATCGTGGAAGGGCACTTGCAGACGTAGGAGTCGTGGAACATTCCAAAGTTGTGGCCCATTTCATGGGCCATTGTCCCCGCAACTCTAAGAAGATTGCTACTGTGGTCCTAATGGTAAAAATGGAGAAAGAGATTTTTTGGTTTTCAAATGGAATTGTAACTCGAGTATGTGTTTTTCATAATGAAATATTTTTCTGTCGTCCAGTAGAATAGAGACTGATTTTAACTTCAGCTTTCTCAACTACCCACCACGTCTGTCAGTCTGTCTGTCTGTCTGTCTGTCTGTCTCTCTCTCTCTCTCTCTCACACACACACACACACACACACACACCTCTGGTACTGAATGCTCATCACAGCACGTATTGTCTGCCCTTTGCTCTGGTAAGAAGATTCCTACACTGAGGAAAATTTTTCAGGTTTCGTGCCATGAGAGACAATGGCAAATTTTCTTCAGCAATGATAAGGAATACAAACATTAAAAAACAAACAACAACAAAAAAAACTAACCCACCTTCCTTCCCCTTGGCTTGCCTTTCAATACTTCCATATTAGTTTTAGAAGTCTTCTACGTGTTTGGCTATTAGGGATCTAAAATTGTTTGTTAGCCTAGCACTTTAACATGACTCGTATCTTTCTCATTTCTTATCACTGCAAAATTAGACATCAGTCAATTCCAGATTTGCCCTGAAATTCCACTGCTTGAACTCCAGCCAATAGCCAACTTCATAACCAGAATGCTTCTGATTTGAAATGCTCAGACTAGCGACTGCAAATTATCCAGTAGCAATAAAACAAGGCAGGAGAATTGCTGCTGGGTATGATTTCCTATTGGGAGACAGAAATATACCAACAATATCCACCCACAGAAGCTTGATTCCTTTATCTACTTCATCTCAAAGAACCACATGGAAAGATCGTGAGGAACAGCACTAGAGTGGCAAGCAAGAAACAGCTGTGTTAGATGTAAAGTTACCGCCTACATTCATGATATTCTTTCATCCTTTTGAGGTGAATGTGGTAAACCCTACTGTATTGCAATATGAAGCTGTCCAAATAGGGAAAAAATTCAAGCCAAAAAGCTTGAGAAAAATGGAAATGTGTTTAGAAGCTTTTCAGTTCTTTTAAATGCAGGATTTCTTCCTTTAGGTAATGATTTTCCGAACTTAAATGGTTTCTTCTCCTATTCTGTCTTCCTCCTCTTTGAATCCTACCTACCCTTTGAGGTCCACCTTAATCAACCTTCCCTGACCACATTAATCTTCATCAACAATCCCCTGTTCTGAATTACTACCGCAGTTTTCAATTCTATAATGTAGCACTAAGCTATCTATTATTGTATGGTAGAACTATTTGCTTTTAAGTAGGACAGTTTCTTTTCCAATTTTATGACAAGCTCTTTCAAGGTGGAAAATATATATTTTATTTCTTCTGTCCACCCCATGAAGGCTGTCACAAGCTCAGGCTTATAAAATATTTACTAAAAATGTATTGGTTCCATGTCTATGTAGGATGCAGAAAGCTGGAAAGAGCATTTTATTCTTGCACTATCAAGGACAAAGCAGCTAAACTTAAACAATTATAACTTCCCTTGAATCCTCCAGTAAGTTGGGGTTACGGGACATCCAAAGAGCCTGTGAAAATATGTTTAAAATGAAAGCAAAATAAAATTTTTCTTAGACAACAAAACTAAAAAATATTTACTCTATCACAAGAAATGTTAAAAAAAAAAAAAAAGTAAAAAGTTCCTCGGAAAGGAAAACGTGTGATAGCAGATAGAAACTTGGATCTTTACAAAGAAAGGAAGACTGCTTAGACCGGAATAAAGTGAACGGAAGCATAAAATTTTTTTTTTCCTTATTTTAAATTGCAATGAAAGATGACTTTCTAAAGCAAAACTAGTAAAATAGTAACAATGTGTTTATGGTATATGTAAAATCAAACATATGATAGATGGGAGGGAGCAATTTGAGGAATTCTCTTGTAAAGCCCTTACACTACATGTGAAGCAGTGTAACATTATTTCAAGGTAAACTGGTGAGTAGAGATGTATAATAAACCTTGGGGCAACCACTGAAAACAAATAAAGTTACCAATATAAAACTAAAAATGGAGATAAATATAAATATTTTTTAAGTACTCAATTTTAAAGGAGGCAGAAAAACAACCCCAAAGACTAAATGAAATAGAAAACAGCTAACAAGATGGAAGATTTTAGTCCAACAATGTTAATAATTCTATAACATATAAATGATGCAATAAAAGACAGATTGTCAGATTAGATTTAGAAAAAGTAAAAACCACATGCATATTGTCTAACAGAAATCTTTACTAAATGTAAATAAATGCATAGGTTAAAAGTAAAAGTAAGGAAAATCATGAATCATGCAAATATTAGCTACAAAATGTTGGATCAACTATATTAATATCAGGCAAAGTAGATTTCTGAACAAGGATTATTTCAAGGATGCATATTTCAGGATCATGACATGATAAAAGGATCAGTTCTCCAAGAAGATGTAACAGCTATCCTTATGTATAAACCTAATAACAGAGCTTCAGACTACACCTACTCAAAACTTAAAGAATTGAAAGAGGAAATAGATAAATCTATAATTATACTTGGGTACTTCAATACTCTCTACATTAGGATTTAACTTGACATAATTTACGATTATAGAATATTCCATTCCACATGAGTAGAAAACACATTCTTTTCAAGTTTGTAAAAGCTCTGACCAAGAACAAATCTCAAAAAAACTAAAAATAAAGAAATTCTACAAAGTATGTTCCAAACTATAACAGAATTAAACAAAGTATCAATAATGGAAACTATTACAGCACACTCGTAAGCAACATATAAGTCAAAGAAGAGATCAAAAAAGAAATGAGAAAATATTTTGAACTGAACAAAAATAAAAACACACATATACAGGTATCTTGGATGCAGTTAAGAGAGTGCATAGTGGGAAGTTTATAGCATTAAAAGATAACAAATTAAATACAGAGTAGGTAGAAGGAAAGAAATAATCAAGACAAGAGCAGAAGTCAATGAATTTGAGAGCAGGAACGCTGTAGAGAGCATCAGTGAAGCCAAAAGTGTTTCTTTGAAAAGACGAATAAAATTCGTATACCCTTAGCTAGGGTGAGTAATAGTAATAAAAAGGACACAAAATATTAGTATCACGAATGAGAGAGGAGACATCACTCCAAATTCTATAGATATTGAAAGGGTAATAAAGGATATTATGAATAAATTTGTGCCAATTTAAATAACTGGACAGCTTTCCTTAAAGGCAAACTACCAAGGCTCACTTAAGTAGAAATAGACAATTGGAATATTCCTATATCTATTGAAGAAATTTAATTTGTAGTTAAAAATCTCTCCATAAAAAAAACTCCAGGCCTGTATAGTTTTACTGGTGAATCATGTTAAACATGTTAGGAGGGAATAATACCAATTCTACTTTAATATTCCAGAAAATCAGAGATTTGGGAACATATCCCAACTCAATTTATGTGGCCAACTTTACTATACTAGCAAAACCTAAAGAAACACATTACAAAAACAGAAAACTACAAATTCATCCCCTGCAAATATAATTGCAAAGACCCTGAGGATATATCAGCATGTTGAATCAAACAATATATGAAAATATGTAAAATACAAGATAATACATTATGACTATGTTAGGTTTAAACTGGAATGCAAGAATAGTTCAGGATTTAGGATTCAATCAATGTCATTTATCATGTCAAAGGACTAAAGGAGAAAAGCTATAATGATCTTCTCTGTAGGTTCAGAAATTTAAAAAAAAGCATTTGGCAAATGTGAATTAGAGAATCAACAGTTCATCTTCAAACAGACCTGAACAATGCCAACTGAATGATAAGGAGAGCACATTGTAGACATAAAAGCAAGGCCCACGGTTGTTCCAGAAAATTCTGTTGCCCTGCGAGAAAGAAATGAGTTTACATAACAAATTATGATGTTAAGCTATATTTTCTTATTTATTTTATTTTTAATTGACACATTGATTGTACATATTTATGCGGTACAAAGTTATATTTCACTGCATGTATACTGTGTGTGAGGATCAAATCAGGGTAATTAGCATATTCATCATGGCAAAATTTATCATTTCTTTGTGATGACAATGTTTGAGCTCCTCTCTTCTGGCCATTTGAGAACATACATAAATTATTGTTAATTATACATGACTAGTACTGCTGTATACCATCAGAACTTACTTTTACCATCTAACTGTGATTTTGTATCCATTAACCAACCTCTTCCTATCCCCTGTCCCCCACTCTCTAGACAGCTCATTCCGAACTCTAAACGATTGGCAGAGAGACTCATGTTGTGAACTATCACTCTTGAACGTTTTCTTTAGTTTTTGAGTTTGCATTAGACATTTTTTCTACAGAATGGCTTTCATATAACTTGAAATTCAGGTACCTGGATGTAATCACATTTAATATTTTCTATCTGTCTTTCATAATTATTATATTTTTCATTGTGGAATTTATCTGTTGTCAAGAAAAAGAAAGACTTTTATTGTTTGAATAAATGTTTCTCTCTATATATCTCCTTTTAATATTAATATTGCCACATGTGCTTCATTTTAATTTATATTTTTCCTATTATTTTTTAGATCTATTTACATTTGTCTTCCTTTAGTACTGTTTTAGCTAGTAGGATTTGGAGTTTGGGTCAATTTTGAAAGTATTTGTATTACGGAACATTTATGTTATTAAAATATTTGTCCTACTGATGAGGGGTTTGGACCATTTGCACTTATTTACATAAATTACATATTTGGTCTTTAGTAATTTTAATTTTGTTTTACTTCATTTGTTAAAACTAAGTTGTAATGATTCCATGCTCTTTTGTTTTTGTTCTTTTGCTGTCTATACAAGATCCTGGTCCTTGTCTATCTCTAGAAATTTGAAAAGTAAGCATAAATTTTTTTAATTCCCTGGTTCATGCATTTACATGAAAAATTGAACCTATGTTTCCCCACAAAGCAACAACAACAGGGAGTATTGATTCCACCATGCAAAATGAGAAAATTAGAAAACTTCCTCCCACTTGCCAATCCCCGCAAAGTTTTATCTCTTTATGTAATCTTAGATTTTAGACATTTGTTATTTTGAAATTATATTTTGCGTTATTCATATTTTAAAGATTTATGGCATGTATGTTCTCCTTTTAAATTATATTGAAGTATTTATACCTAATTCTACATTTGTGTAGTTTCATTTTTCACTACTAGCTCATTTATAAAAAATAACATCCTCCCACATTCTGAAGTTATCTATTTTGATGCCTCTTTTTAGTAAGTAGAGTGTGTCTGAACTCTAATATTCTTACATGTTTATATTTAGGTTTAGGTATCTTTTGTTAATTCTTGGGTAAATGGTAAGACTTTCAATTTATAAATGGAGGAACAAATATTTCCTTCCATTATATCTCTGATTAGTGCTTTTATTCTATTTGTTCTGGTCTCTTCAAGAAATATACTCTCAACATTAGATTTCCAGTTTTTAGCCGTACATTTATCATCTTGTCTATGATTTTTATATTTCCACCCTATTACCGTACAATGTGGGAGTATTTCACAATTTGAGCATGGCTCTGAAACCAGTCTGGTAAGAGTTCAAGTCCCTCACTACTTACTAGGTGTGATGTCTTGGAAAATCACTAAACCTCTCCACAAAGAATGGGCTCTGTCCTGTGGTGTTTCCTTGAGCCTAAAACTCTCCTTTCCAAATTAATAAATTGTGTTGACTATTCTCCAAAAATAGCCCTCCAGTGAGCCAGCCTTGCAGTGCCCACAGCCTTAGTGTCTTCCCCTTAAATCTGGGCTCTACGACTTGCCCTTGGCCAAAGAGGATATCCATTGGTGACACTGTATGACTTTGAGGTTAGATCATATGAAGCCTTAATGCTTTCTTCATAGGCCTCTTGGAATATTTATTCTGGGGAAAACTAGCCACCTTGTAAGAGGTCCAGCCATGGACCTGAGACAGCCATGTGGGAGGAAGTTCATATTAGCCGCATGGAAGGCTCTTTATGGAGATATATGACCAACCAGCCCCTCCGCTCCAGTCATACAAGCCCAGCCATGGAACATACAAGCGACTTATTCTAAGCCCAGAAGTTTTGGACTGATATGTTTTGCAATAATAGATGACCAGCACTGAAACGCTAATTCATTCTGACAGGACACAGCCCACTGATTTCACATGACATCCACTGTTTTCTCAGGAAGTGGACTTTCCAGTAACTTCAAGTCAACACTTGCTGCTTGCTTCTATCAGATTCTAACTGAAAACTGTACATCACTTCAGCAGCAATTTCTTATTTCTTTTGAGGCATATGCTCAAATCTTATGTAATTTATAGCCATTACATTTATTTCTTCAGATGTTTTTAATTGGTCATTTCAGCAGGACAGTGGAGGTGTGGGGTTAGAATATAATCCTCAGTTGTCCTTCTATCTTAGAAGTTTCTCCTAACTAGATCTTAAAGCCAATCAGTTCTTTTTAAATATTAAATCTAAATCCTTCTTTCCATGATCTAAACTTGTCTTCTTTACTGTATAACCAAGAAAAACAAACTTCATATGAATCATTGCTAAATTATTAGCTTCTCTTTAAAAAAAAGAAAATACTTGGATCGAAAGTAAGAACATATTCAACATAAGGTCCAAGCAAATGCTTTTTAAACTTTTAATCCTACATGTGTGAACCTCTTGCTCTCACCCTCTACTCTGAGATACCACTTGCATTGCCAAGGCTTTGAAAAGCTTCCATGCTAATTACTACATAGTATGCAAAGGGAAAAATCCATACATACGTGATTAACTGAGCAATATCATGACGCTTTCTTCTTGGGAGGACACTCCCCCTCCATTTAGAAAAATTTTCCAAGGTGACGCTTGCATTTGGGGTTATCTTTATCTTATCCTCATCAGTCCAGATTTCCATACCAACTAAGGCCACATGAGTGTTGAGCTTTTTATAAAGCTGTCCAAAGAGAATACACGGTAAAGCAACGACTTACAATGGTGATATTATCTTTTCATATTTCCAGTGTACTTCATATTTTCAAACATTCATAACAGCACCTTAAAAACCTTATTTACAAAAATACTTATGAAACGGAAGTTAACATCTCCTGTTACAGACACTAAAATCCTCATTCAAAAGGAAAGGCAGACATCCTTAGATAGTTCACATCTGTAAACTCCTTTTTTTGGAGCAAAGGCCAAATTGAGACAATCTTTCCTTGTAACCTCAAGAAATACTATAATTTTGCATTAGCAGTTCATTACTATGGCTTCACCTCAACTATATTTACTCATATGTTTTGCATTGTTCTTAGTTATAATATTTCAGAATTAGCAAAGTTGGCTCAGTGGTGGTTTGGGATTAGAGAAGTAATATGCTCCATGGAAATGTCCTACCTCCATGAATTACACACAATAAGGTAAGTGGTTGCAATGGTCTGAATGTTTGTATCTCCCCAAACTCATATGTTGAAATCTTAACCCCCAAGGTGATGGTATTGGGAGATGGGACCTTTGGGTAGTGATTAGGTAATAATGGTGGCACCCTCATGAATGGGATTAGTGCCTTTATTCAAGAGACCCCAGAAAGTTGCCTTCTGTATGTTCATGGACCTGAGAATAGTGTGGTAAGTGGGAAGAAAATTCTCTGTCATGTTATAATACTACTCAATTAAATAGCAAAAGTCATGGTCATCCCTCAGGAGCCAGCGAGCAGCCTTGGTCTCAGGGGCTTGACTTTCCTTCCTGCCTCATGTGCATTCATGGAAAAAACACGATGACACTCTTAGAAAATTAAAATTGCATTTAATAAAATATATCATACCATGTTGACATAATTGACCATCTCGAACACCCTCTTTCTTATTTCATCTGGGTTTTCATTGTACTTTTTAAACTAAAAAACAATAAAGCAGTCAAGATAGAATATGGTCATTAATAGAAGTTAATATAAGTGGAAGGTAAAAAAGGCAACCTTGCTTATATTACTTATCAGTGGTTATAATTCAGGACCAGTTACTAAAGTTAACACTTAAAAATTGGAAACAAATCAATTCCTTATTTTTTTTAGATAAATTAAAGTACTTTGGAGTGGAGGTGATGTTTTCTCCCTTAAAGTACTAGCTCAATGTAAAGCTCTAAAGAGTTATTGCAGTGTATTTTTAGTTAAATTCTATGGTCTCCTAAGCTGTGAAGAATAGCTTATTCATTTTTTAAAAATATATGAACAATAAATAAATTCAGTGCAATGAGAAAGGCCAAAGTGGTAGGGCCTGAACTAACTAGTTTATTCCTATTTTCATAGCACAAGATTTCCTTCTTGAGATTAGGCAGATGAATCCTGTGTTTAGAAAACCCAACATATGAAAATAAATTCTTCTTAAAGATAAGCAGTAATTATCACCAGATCTGCTTTTTCAGAAGATTTTATTCATAGGCTTTTATATTTGCCACTTTGTGATGAGCAGAAACATTAATTTGCAAATGATTAACAGAAGACAAAATGACACACAAACAAATTTAATTGGACTAAGTTGGAAGCTCCTAAATCAGTAGGAAAAGAGCATTATAGGGTCAACAATTGAATTTATGCATATCATATCAGTAGCCCAATTTTGAAAAGGAGAAATCATATCAGCTTAATTATAAATGTCAAATTTTATAGGTTCAGAACAATTTTTAACCATAGCTCATACTCATGAATTTTCAAAACAGATTTAGACGTTTAATATCTCACATAAATAAATTTATCTAGAGGCGGATTTTAAAAACCACATTTAGCTACTATAATTACCTCACCATTATCCATGACCAAATAATATTCTATGTATTTCTTACGTTCCTGAACCTTCTGGTCATCCAATTTCTGAAATATAAGGAGGAGAATTACTAGGATGACATCTTTCTTTGCACAAGTCCTTCTTTTATTTAACATGTGTAATTTTATAAGAGGCTGGTTGATACCCAGGAGTAAAGGCAGACAATATTAGCATTTTAACTCTAACTTAACAGCCAGGATTATCTGCAGACAAGGCTCAGAATGTTACACCTAGAAGGGACATCACTAATGTTCTAGTCTGACCGCTTCATTTCAGCAGTTTACGTGATTACATAACTCATTAATATGGCAGCTAGATCTAAAACCAGAGTCTCTGCGTTTTTTGAACAGTAGACTTTGCAATGGGACTAAATGTAATGGGAAGCCATTAGAGGGCTTTAACAGAAAAGAGACATGGTGTGATTTACAATAAAAACATCACTTTCCTCACCATCCTGATACAAAATAGAGACAATTTGACTTCAGCATCCTCCCAGTGTTTTTTATTTTTTATTTTTTTGTTGTTGTTGTTGTTTTTAAGTAGCCTTCTATTACTATCATGATGAACAGCCCCTCTTACAGGGTAGGTATTGTACTTGACACTTCGTTTTAACCCTTGCATATTGTTGATGATAATAATTGATCCATAAGTACTTGTTAAATGAACCATGAGTGAACAGCAATGTGCTAGGATTAGTCTCTCTATAACCTGCTCATTTCAGCAATGACCGTAAAGTTTCCATAAATTGCACTGCTAATACTTGAACCCAAGGAAGCAGGACAGGATACGTGAAAGTGTCACAAACGAAAAATGAAGTTATACATACAACCAGTCTTGTGGCGGACAGGGCCACATTCTGCTGCCATCCCTGCACCCATAACACATCATCCATCCCACAGGAGCTATTAGCCGTCTTTTCATCAGGGTTATACTTGAAGAGTGCATGCTCCTGTCCGTCCTGATTTGTTGGGCTTAAAGGTTCAATGAAGTACCTTTGATCCCCTTGACTAAAGTAGCCCCTGAAAAATGTGAGAATTCAGGTTTCTTAACAAAATTTTCTTACATTTGGGGTATATAGACTTATAGGCTCTGACAAGAAACCTTGCAAAATTCCTAGTCAATGTGAAAGCAGTTAAAGCTTATGGAAATAGAATACTGTGAAATTTACAACTGAAGATACCCTTACAGATTACATACACTTATTTTTGCTATAAGGAAATAGGACCTGTAAGGGAGAAGTGACTATTACAATGTCTTATAACTAATATGTCAGTTCCGGCACTAGAATGAATATTTCCTGACTCTCAGTCCAGAGTTCTTCCAATTTTCACATTGTGCTTGCTCTAAAGGTACACCGAAAATGAAGGGGACTATGTAGCCTTATTGATAAGGGTTAAAATCCTATGTCTGTCACTTATTAGCTGTGAAACTATGGTAAAATTCCTTAAATTCATAGGCTTAGTTTCTCCATCTATAAAATGAGAAAAATAATATCTATGTAGTACAATGACTGTAAAGATTGAAAGAGAGAATATGAGATAACATGTAAAACATGTGATCAATAAATATTGTCCATTTCTCCTCAATTTTCTCTGCTGAAGCCCTAAGCTAGGATTTATTAAACCAATATTTAGCAAGCACCCATTATTCATTAGTCACTGGGCTAAGGATAGACAGTAAAAAAGAGTCATGGTCTCTTCCCTTATGGAACTTATGTTCAAATGAGGAAGATTAATGCATATCAAATAATCACAGAGTATATAATTATATAGTAAATTCATAATATATGTATAATTACAACAGATTAATTGGTATGAAGAAAAAGTACAAGAGCATATAATAAGGAAACTGAATTAGGAGTATGGAGAATTAGAATTAGAAGACAGCAGGAGCAGATGTGGGGAGATAAATTATATGGTTTATTGCAATGGTCTGCATAAAGTATCATGGTAGTTGGACTAAAATGCTGCAGTGGAGACAGAATGTAATGAACAATCTCAGGAAATATTTAGAAGAAATAATCAATAGGGCTTGATAAGGGATTGAAGGGCCAAAGTCAAGAAGTCTTCAAGGAATTTAGGTTTCTGGATTGGGCAAATGTTTATCTGGCTATGCAATTGATTGAGATAAAGAACACAGGAAAAATACCAGATTTGGAAGATAATCATTAGTTTGGTTTAGGGCACATTGAGATAGGAATTTCTTTAAGATATTCAACTGGAGATATTGAAAAGGAAGTTAGATAATCAAGTCTGTGCATCAGAAAAGACACCTAACTATAGACAGATGCATGGAAAGTCATTAACAGACAGAAAAAAATGTATGTCATAAACATGGATAAAACAAGCTAGAGGGAGAGCTTAAAGTGAGGGAGAGGGTAGACAGAAGCTCCCATTCCTTAAAGATTTTAACTAAAGCTGAGACTCAACATCCTGTATTTTTTTAAAAAAGCAAACAAATCAATTTAACTCTGAAAGCAATTCAGATGTATAATTTACAAACCACTATTAAGAGAAATAGTGTTTCTTTCAAATTTGAAAATTTTATAGCCCTTAAGATTCATACTCAACTATAGTATAATTAATTATATTTGAAATTCTCAGGTTTATTAAATACACACACACACACTCTGTAATTGTAGTTACACACAAAACATTTATTAAATCTTACCTTAGACCCCTACACGTGCTGATGCTAGCATCGGAAACTTTTTCATTAATGATGTGTCCTTGATAGTAGCAGTCATCCTAAAGAAAGGGAAAAGGGGTTTTATAAAGAAAAGTATGTGTGATTTTTAGACCCATGGCCAAAGTTAAACTTGAAATTTTGAAACAGGATCTGTGATGCCTTCAAACCATTTTGTGCTAAACAACAGTCAACATAGGGATGTTAAAAAAAATTAAATAAAAGTTGAAATCTATAATGTTAGTTGTTAATCCCAAAGTGCTTATAGGGTGTTAATTAAATGTTGGTGTTGCTGAAATAGGATAAAAATGAATAGTGCTTAGATATGTCAGTTTATACCTAAGCCTCCCAACCATCACACATTCTTTCTTCCCCCTTGCCTGATTGCTCATTGAAGTTTTTTTCATAAAAACCTACAAGCTCTTTTTCTAACAGATGTGCTATTCAGATTGGGTTTTTGTTTCTTGATTTATCCAAAGAGCTTCTCCTTAACTGGATCAGCACAACATTCCCTGCCTCCATTTGGAGCAAAATGCTCATCCTACCATTTTCCCATGTGGGTGTTCCATGAAGGACCTTTCTACTTTGGGACAGATGAGGTATCTGTATCATTGCTGTAGATGAGAATGCATGAAGGGTTCCAATAGCAAATGGAGCTCAAAAGAGAAGACATGAATGCCCTTACACAGCTGCACACTGTCACCTGCGTCACTCTGCAGAAAATAACTCTATGGAAAACAAGAAACTCCTCTGCCCGTCCTCCCACTGGGAGCCCTTGAAGGCTGGGAAAGGTTACCACAGTTGTCAGGAACGCCTTTATCCCTGTTAAAATGTAAAAAAAGTTGGAGATCAATTAAGTAATTACCATTACTGAAGAAAAGCACCAAAGCTATAATGCAGTTTCACTACTACCATTTGCCTGGGAATGATATTGCCTTTAGGACTATGGGTTACAACCCTATTAACAAGGAACCTAGGGTGGGCCGGCCTGGTGGTGCACTGCTATGCTACAGTGTGCCACTTGGGAGCGCGTCGGCGCTCCCGCCGAGGGTTCAGATCCCACATACAGACCGGTTCCCGCTCACCGGCTGAGCGAGGTGCGGGAGCAACACCGAGGGTTGCGATCCCGTTGCCGGTCCCGGTCCGGTACGGGTGTGACACTGAGGGTTGTGATCTGTTGCTGGACACGAAAAAAAGACAAAAAGGAAAACAAACAAACAAACAAAAAAAAAAAACAAGGAACCTAGGAGACTCTGTTATACCATGATTTGTGGGCTTGTGATGACCTCCTTTCCAGTGGAATTATAATATGTTTCCGTGTAGCCTGGGCCAAGGAGATTCCTGGAGAAAGAAAAAAAAAAAAAGGTGGTGGTTACTGATGCTAATTGCAAAGTCCAGTGATCAAAGTGAGAGCTTTCGCTGGGAGTACAGGCAAGTTTTAACTCCTGAGCTCCTCCTCCTAACCCCTCAAAACAAGTCCAATCACAAAAGGGCTGCTTAAATTGGAAAGATTGGGAGGGGCAGGGGCATTCCTAAGTAGTGTGGAATGTCTTCTTTTTTGCATGCTTGTTTGAAGAGAGACTTCAGGAAGAAGCAGAACTGAGAAGGTCAAAGTTGATAAAGATGAAAGATATGAGCAATGCTTCTCACCAGCTTGCGATAACTGCATTTTTACTCAGTCCTTTTCAGTTACCAGGGACCGTTAACAACTGTGGCAGAGAAAAGTTTGTTTATTGGAAATTAACTTGAATTGGGTAGTTAGGACCCTTCTTGCATTTTCCACTGTTTCTTAGAAGTCTTTCAGTTAGGCAACAGAAAATAGGAGTAAGAATATATGTACATATTCCAGCTTCGCTGAGGAACGACTGACAAATGAAGCATTGTATATATTTAAGGTGTACAACTTGATGATTTGATATACATATAAATTGTGAGATGATTAAAACAATCAAGCTAATTAATGTATCCATCACTTCGCATAGTTAGCATTTGCGTGTGGGGGTGGGTGTGTGGTGTGAATACTTAATATCTATTCTATTAGCAAATTTCAGGTATGTGATACATCATTATTAACTATAGTCATCATGTTGTACATAAGGTACCCAGACCTTATTCATATTATAACTGGAAGTTTGTACCAACATCTCCCCATTTCCTCCCTCCTCCTCCAATCCTTGGCAACCACCATTCTACTCTCTGTTTCTGTGAGTTTGATAATTTTAGATTCTACATATAAGTGAGATCATGCAGTATTTGTCTTTCTGTGCCTGACCTGGGTTACTTAGCATAATGTTCTCCGGTTTCATCCATGTTGCAAACGGCAAGATTTCCTTCTTGTCTGAGGCTAAATTGTGATATGTGTGTATGTGTATACATACATACACACAAATCCATACATTCCACAACTTTTTTAACCATTCATCCATTGATGAACACCTAGCTTATCTTGGCTATTGTGAATAAGTAATATGATTTTTAAAGAGACATGGCAAGGAGAAAAGAAATAGCTTATATGTTTAAAATGCCATCTCTATAGCAGGCACTGTGTTAGAAATGTTATATGCATTATTTAATCCTTTCCAATATCCTATGAGATAAATATTACTATCCTTGTTATTCAGATGAGATTAAATATTTTTAAATGCAAAGAATCATATCCAGATCAGTCTGAATCCAAAGCCTATACTACTTGCATTATACCATACTTTTTCCTAACTCCAGCTGATTGTAATATTTTGCAAAAGGTGATAGCCTGTTTTGGGGGAAAGAAATCTTGCTGTCCTATATAGAATAGTCTAGGTGTTGAAAGAGATTAAAAACACACAAAATTAGAAAAAAATTTAAATATCCTATATTTAAACTTTTGAAATAGTTTAAATACAGGATGATCAAGATCTGGGAAAAGCTGTGGCAGTAAAATTGTAAAAGAAATGTTAAATTGAGATGAATGAAATGAAGAGAATGAAGGTTTAACATATGAGAAAAATGGACGGGTTAGTGAACAGCTGGGTAAAAAGAGCACTGATGTTCGGGTCAGGAAAGCCTGATTCTGGTTTTACCCCTGACTACTTGGCTCTAGAATTTTATGTTACTTTATATATCTTGCCTTATTCTGAGTTCTAAATTATTTTAAAATCTAACCGTACAGTGGTAGAATAATAAAATGTAATGGCATATAAAAAATTAAAATTTATAGCAAAGTTCACTGGAACCTCTCTATCTGCTATTTCATAGAATAGGTAAAATGTATGTATGTCTGCTTGCATCTCATTGGTTGTGTTTTACTACTAAAAGTATCAAAATACTAGTAAATTCTGTTTTACCCAATGTATTTCTATCACTTCAGTATAAACAAATATTCAGCCGTGAGCAAAAGCTGATGAATCAAGGTTTGTGAGAGCCGTAAGTAGTAACAGACTCAGCACGCTTTCCGCACACTAACTCACTCTTGGTAAGGATAATGTCAGAGGTGAAGACACTTACTTGTTTTTTTTCAAATAAAGCACTGCAAGTTTTCCATTAACTGTCATTTTATACTTTAATTCAGTTTCAAAGTTTTCCTGCAAAAAGGCATAAACATTTTATGATAATTAAAAAACATACATAAACATTCATTTGGCTATGTTTATCTATTTAATCATTAGCAAGCAATATCTTCCTTTTTTTTTAGTAGACTATATAATAGCAAAAGTATGTCTCTTCCCCCTTTAACAGATCAAACAACTCTCGCAACTAAACAAATTACGAGAGCCTTATAAATTACATGAGACCCTTGTAGCCATCCATCCATTCATCCATCCATGTATTTACAAATATTGCTTGAATACTAGTTCTGTGCAAGACAGTGCTTGATGCTGGAAATTCAACTCTAAGCAAATAAAAAAAAGTACCTTCTGTAGAAAGACAATGAAGTAGTGAGTTATATTGCGTGATGATGATGCATGTATGGTAGGATGTCTAATGTCTTAAGGGCAGAAAAGCCTTTCTTGTGGAAGTAATGCTTAAGCTGAAATGTGAGTTACCCAGGTGAAATGGAGAGGGATGTTATCTAAGAAGAAGGAAGAATACTCACAGAGGCCTAGGAACCTCCATTGCAACTCACTGAGAATAAAAGAAACATAACAGGAAGGCATCCCTTACAGAGGGGAGAAATTTTTAGGAAGAAACTATGCTCTCAAGTGTTTGGAAAGAAGAGATAAATAAGTAAACCATGTGGAAAGGAAGAATTGTTTTAAGTTTAGATTTAGATATATGAGAAGGGATGTCGAAGAACACACAGATTTATTTTAAAGGAGATTTTTCAGGAGCACAAAGGACTAACTTTGATCTATAAAACAAGATCATTAACCATGGTTACACTTAGTATCTAAAAAATCACTGGGAAGTGCCAGGACACTGTCATGAAGGACATCTAACTATGGGAGACAAAAGGCGATTGAGAAACAGATTACGGATTGAGCCCTGTTTCCTCTGCTGGGCTGCACCTAAGGCCAATCCTTTCTCCTCACCTGCCTCTTCTGGCCATGGTGGTACCGAAGCTCACAGAAGGACAATGGCACCATCACTATAGATATAAAATCAATATATTTTTTTAAAAATCAAGAATTAAATTGCTTAACTCTGACAGTGACTGAAGCACAACTTCAGAAAAGGGATCTATTATTAGTATACATGTGAATATGCCACACTGGCTTCACAGAGAGTATAAGATGGGCTGAGCGTGAAATACAGAGAAAACATTTTAAGTAGTAAAATATTTATAAGAAAGGGCATAGAGGCAGAAACAAGAATATTAATAAGAAAAGATAATAGAAAACCAAGGCTGAATAACAAACAGGTTATGTTGAGGAGCAGAATGGAAAAGAAAAAAGTTATTAACTGGGAGACAAAAAGCCACCAAAAAAAAAAAAAAGCCACAAAAAGCCTTGAAAATTATTCATAAGAAGTGGGACATGATGGATTATAGAAGGCAGTGTCATAGCATAATCGTGAACAGGGAGTTAATATTTTTATCTTGCCTCAATTTCCATATTATCTCAAAACAGCCATATAAGATTTAACATTATTATCTCCACTTCAATACAAAACCTTGAAATGTATGTGTTTCTATATTTACACCGGTAGAACGGACAAAGTTAAGATGTGAGCAGAAACCAGTCCTCTGAATTCAGATCCTGTACACTTTCACTGTGGGTCAGGAAGACATAAGAGTCGCATAACCATCTAATCTAGTAGTCAGATAGATAAATCATGTATCTCCAATAAATATCAAGGCTATTATATCAACCATATCTATCTACTCAATCATTCCAAAAATGAATACTTATCATCTTTTATATGCCAGTAACTAGTCTATGGTTTTTCATAAAAATAAATTTTTCAAAGCTTAAATTTATTTTTACAGTTGTGATAAAATCACTTTATAGCTGTGATTATAAACACTTCACCTATATTTGAATTTTCCTCAAAATGGAATCTGGCATTTTTAAAAGACTGTAAGAAAGCATTTGAAGAAAGCCACATAGGTTTCATCTAAATTTAGCAAAAACATTTTGTTGATTGATAATTATTTTGGGAAACAGGCTCTACTAGGGTTCCACAGACACAAATTTGCTTTAGTAGAAATACTCTGAGAAACCTTGTCCAGTGGGAAAAAATGTGAACCAGGTTAGTTGCATTTTAGAATATTTCTATAAATTATCATTTATGTCTTAATTATCTATATTTTCCCAGCTCCCAGCAGAAAACTTCAGAGTGCAGATAATTAGAACATTTTTGTTGAATGTAACATAATATTTTAGCTTTCCTCTTGCAACTGAGTGAATGATGGCTGACAATGTGTTGGTTCACTAAGTAGCAAAAATTATAAAAACTTTAACAGAGGCCTATTTGGAAAAAACATACATTTCATGTTAATTTGCATATGTGCTTTCACCTGAAGTATTTTATTTTCTGCTTCTGTTTTAGCGGTCATAGTTGTCTGTGTGGATAGACAGATGATAGATAAATAGGTAGATAGATAGATAGGCAGATAATAGATAATAAGTTATATCTAATTTTCTTTGTTTCTTTCTTTTTTTTTTTGAGACCAGCTGCACTGCGCTCAGCCAGTGAGCGCTGTGAGTGCACCGGTCATCCCTATATAGGATCCGAACCTGCGGCGGGAGTGCTGCTGTGCTCCCAGCGCCGCACTCTCCCGAGTGTGCCACGGGCTTGGCCCATATCTAATTTTCTTTGGAAGTGCACAGAATAAGTTATCCTCGGATATTACAGTATAAACTCTGTGTTACCTTGGACAATTTATTTTACTTTTCAGAAACTCAATTTATAAAATGAAGCTAATAATAGAACTTTGGGCTATAGTGAGGATTTAAAAAGGCCAAAAACATACTCATATAGAACCACTGCTGTTATTTAACTCCATGGCATGATAGCTGAAACTTTACAAAGCTCAATTGACAACATTAAAATATTTATATATACACATACGCACATGACACATATATCTCAAATCAAGATTCTCTGATAAATCAAAAGCTGTACCTGTTGCTGAGGCTGTTGGGCCTCTCTTTTATGTCGTGGATGAAGTCTTATGGGAAAAACCACTTCATATTTCTTTACCCCTGAGAGTTCTCCTAAAGTACTAACTGAGAAAACAAAGAAAAAAGAGAAAAGACTTAATTAGGCAGAACGAAAATAGGCTGGTCCGTAATGGTATCCTTTTAACATTTCCAATGAATGATGCCACACGCAGGGGCCTGGAGTGATTTACATCAGAGTTATTAATGTGCTTACAAGGCAGAAGGAAAGCAATGCAGAAGCCAAATTCATCCTCTAAGAAGCTAATCAGTCCCAGAATAATGGAGTTGAGGCACTCTGAAAACAATGCTATAAAAACGAAATAACTAATGCATGCCATTTTGATTCTAATATATTTTTCTTGGATTTGTCAATAGCAATGTTTTATGCCAATGAAAGAAACTAAGTCACAGTAAGAAAAGGCTACATTATTGAATTAGCAATAAAGATAAATCTTCATTTTTACATACAAAACATGTAAAAATGAAAATTGGTGAAGCAGACAATTCGAACAGAATCACAGGCCTGGAAGGACTTTTCTGAGCCTGCAGTCATATTGAAAGAGAACTGGAAAATTATCTGATCCAACCTTTCTGCATCACAAGTGCTCATCTCCCTGGTATTTCTAGAAGTCATTTTAGAGAGAAATTCAGAGTTTTCCAAAAGCTAACACTGGACTTTCTGTTTTCTTTTTGCTTGGTCCACATGGTCTAGACCCTGCTCTGTATATAGTACTGCCTGAGGAAACGTTGATAGACCTGCTCTTTGTCTGCAGAAGGTGCTGCAGGTCCTCACGAATTGTCAACTGCACTAGGAACCAGAGAGAGAGGTAGGCTCGACCCCATGGCTTACTGCGACTGGATCTGTAAAAGTTTTATTCTCTTCTTTGTGTAATGATTAGGATGGTCTCTAAAGGAAATCCTAGCTCATTAAAGTACTCAAACCTCAATTCTACGGTAACATAAATATATGTTTTTGTGTTTGACCTTTTAACAAACATAACTGAGGCACTCAAAAAGTAGTAGTATTCGTCCATCAGTGACCTTGGAGGACTGTATGCTTATTGCAATGACATTCCAAAAAACAAAACATTCATTTTTGAATTTTTTTCTTGAGAAACTAAAGCAGAAACTTTAAAAAAAAATCCTAGTAGTGTCAAATTTTCATTTTAGAATGATTTTAACTCATTTGACCTCTCAAGAGCAATTTACATTTAACTTGGAAAAACAGAAAAAGTAATTGAATTTGCTAAGAACTTTTCGAGCCAAAAAATGGGTGTTAAAGTAATTAAACAGCTTTTCTTTCAGTGGCTTGAGATTTACTCTAGAAAACATTTCAAAAATACTTAAAGCCATGGCACTGGCACTAGAATACCTTAATTTTGGATTTGGTTTAGATTTTTTTAATTGCTTGAAAAGAGGGGGCATATTAAATGGTCTGTACAGCTAGTTCAAATGGTCTACGACTTTATACAAATAAAGGCAGAATCCCCTACTCTTTGAAGAGGATGATCATTTGGATAGGTAAGTTCTAATCAGTTGTGGTAAAATAATCCTTATTACATTGTCACACTTCAAGAATGACATAACAAGTTCCCTTAGCAATCACTGGGCATCTTTTATCTCTAATCAATTTTTTGGTAAAGGAAAATAATAACATTTGTTATAAAAAATGTTTATAACAGAAGTTCAACATTCTAAAGAAACATTAACTTGATAATTTTCTTTCCATTGAGTTAAAATTTTCATAATTGTTGTCAAGTATTTTAAAACAATAAGATGCCAAAAGACAAGAAAATTACTGTTGCCAGACATTAACTGATGGTAGCGAACAATTCCCTGCTGCCTCCTTTAAAGCAGTGACAAAAAACAAGCACAGCGTAAGGTGCCAACATGCTTCCTGGGTATTATGTCTAATCAACGCAATTAGGCCTGTTAATACGGAGTTCGTGAAGCCACATTTCACCTATGCTGCAACCAGAGTAAGTGATTTAAAAATGCTACGTTAGGCTGGCCGGTTAGCTCAGTTGGCTAAAGTGCAGCCTTGGAACACCAAGGTCATGGATTCAGATCCCTATATTGGGCAGCCACAAAAAAAAGGGGGGGGGGGGGGGCTAAATTAGTGGTTTTCATCCATGACACAGACAATTGTAACAGGCAATATTAGTCCAAGCAGCCTTTGGGTCATAAAATAATAACTGCTCACCTGAATTTTTGTACAAAAGCACGAAGTGATAACACACACACTCCCCACTCAGAAGTACTGAGATGGGAAAAAGGCCAGGCTAGCCAATGCAAATTTTCTCTGATACGCACACTGATCTCCATCCTTATGGTTAGTATCTGAATCCTAATGTTTCATGAAATCAGAAATTACTGATTGGTTCTTAGATCCAGACTAGAAATATGTATATTAGTCATAAAATTTATTTCCAGCTCTTTATCTGATGGCCAAACACTTTCAAATGGAAGCCCAAAACAAATTAAACAAAACAAAACAGAACAAAAAAACCGTTTTTTTCAAATCTTTAGGCAAACTCTCACTCTTTTCAGTTTGCAATGAATGAATTTCCAGCTCTTCCCAAACTCTTGAAACACAGTATGTTCTCTAAAGAAAATGGAATTTCCCTTAAATGCTCTTCTTCTCCTGAAACCTAGAAGACCCCTGAAAGAATGAGGTCTCAGATATAGCAAATTGCACATCAGTTATAAGCATGTAACAGATCTAAATATTGTTTAGCTCATTCATCCTCAAATTTCATGGCAATGGTGCAGTCTCCTCCCAGGTGAATAATGTCAGATTAATTATTTTGAAGCCTGTGGAATAAACACAACTAACTGCCCTCTGGGGATCACACAGCTCCAAGGCGTAACACAATATGTTACTAATTCATTTTAATGCTGCTCTCTCTCCCAAAGAACTCACATGTTGAATTAGTTTTGACCAGCAAAACTGGATCAAGAGAAAGAAAACTGTAATTTGGGTTTGGGTTGAATAATTATTTTTACTGTTCACTAGTTTTAGAAAAGCCAAAACTCATTAATAAGATTAATATAACAGACATTGGTTTGGATTGCTCCTTTATTTGTTAATGTGTTTGAGGCCATTTTGGAGATTAGAATATTTGTACAAAATACTGACATTGTTATTTTTGTTAGAATCTGTTCAAAACGGTTTAAAGCAATGTCTATCCAAACTGAATACCTGACATTAAGCCCTGAATCAGGTTTTATTTCATGACATTGAGTTAAGTGCTGGGATTCTTTGCACCCCCTCAAACTATCTTGTGATCTTTAAACTTCACGCAGTAAAAGTGAGCATAAACACTGAGGGAAAAATCACACCCTAATTAAGTCTATTATTTTGGTTATTAAGGTTCAATTGCATATACTCTCATGGATCTTCTAGCTACTTCATTAAGGCAGGAACAAACTGCTAGTTTAAAATAAAATAACTCCAAAAAGCACGGAAACCCTGGATATTCCTCTGGATTATAGTAAAGACTCTCCTTTGTCAGTGCTCTCAGTTACTTCCTCGCCCATGAACACCTGTCACATCCTTTTAAATATTTGTGTTTTCCTTTTCCTAGGATGAAATCCCATAAGTCAATTTTCCTTGGGGGATTATGACGCTTATTACAACTAACCAGCCTTATTTCACAACTCTTTCTTTTATTTCAAGTGTATGGAAACTGGGAAAAAGTCATGGCAGAGGGGTACATATGTATTGTTTTGATGAGGGGGACAGAGAAACAAAGAGAAAGACCTGGGAAATGAAAATTGCTTTACTTTTTATATTTTGGCTGGAAAGTAAACTCCAATGGGAGTAACAGCAGCTGTATTTCAGTGACCAAGGAGACACCCCTGAAAATACCAGCTGAAGAGCAAAAGAAGGGGGCAACTTTCTGTTCAAGTTAATAAAGGGGGGGAGACAGCTTTCTGTCCCCCATTCTCACAAGAGCGACTTCAGAATCTCTGTCCCCATCACCTTGTACCCAGGGTGATGTCACACTTTTCGGCATGATTTCTGAGGAAGCTGCGTCTCTTGGTGCCATGTTGTGAATGTACAGTCAGGAGAAGCAGGATCAATTTTGCCCAGTTTCTCTGGGAAGACCGTAATGTGCATGGGCCCCAGTGTTAGCTGTGTGACTCTGTTAATGAAACCAGCCTGATCTTTATGCTCATGGACAAAGCTCATACCCAGGCAGTTCTTATGTTGTAGCTAAGAGAGGGGTCCCAAAGAGTTGCTGGTACTAGCATTTTTGGAAAATGTAGGGAAAGGATATTTCCATTGCTTGACTCAAAAAGTAGGAATTTTAAGTCAATAACTTAAATGCCAAGCATCCGTTCTATACTGAAAGACATTCAATAACATTTTCACGAGTCTGGAAAACAAATCAGAAATTAGGTGTAGGGAAAACTGTTTTGCAATGACGAAGTAGTGAGTGGATAGGTGGAGGAGGAATTTTCCCTCCCTAACACCATAGCTTTTGTTGATAATTTGTTCCCATTCTCAGGTCCCAGCAAGCATTCTAAAACCCAAAAACGGTTTACCAGGAAAGGACTCCAGGCACTGAGGCTAATGTGCTGACTTCAATCAGCTCCAGAAATAGAAATAAGCTGATGAAATACGTTACCCAATCTAATTTAACCAAAATCTAATTAATGAATTTACCAGAAATGGAAAAGCATATGAAGACATCATTTATTCCTATGAAGTAGAATGCCTACACTTGTAAATTCTTGAATGTTTGATATAACCAGCAAAATGAAAGTGCTGTGTCAACTTAAACTTAACAGCGACATTGTTTTGTCAAGTAATATCACAGTACTTTATAAATATAAAATTGTTCAAGTACTTATTTCCAATTAGTCACATTTATTATCACCAGTAATGAAAAGACTAATATAAAAATGTACATTCAAAAGGAACAGAGGCATCAAACTCACCCCAACAATAATAGCAGATATTTTCCAAAATCCTTCTGTCCTGATGCAGTCAAATCTGCTGCACCTGTACTCCTCTAAAAATGAGTGTTAAGTTTCGCTGAATTCGACTTTTTGACTGAAAGATTATATTCGTTATGTAAATCATGCTGTATGAAATCTTTCCTTTTATTTCTATGTGCTCTCAGATCAGACACATAAATATTGGTTCAAGACCTCTTATTGCATCTCTTTAACACTCAGTCTTTACATTAGTCACATTCCTCTAAACAACAGATTAAAGCCAGCCCAACAGGTTAGTAAAATTAGTTGATGGAAAAAAAATACCTACCAGTCAAAACGTCAAAATATTCTATACAATTAAACTATTGGGAGAAGACAAAAAGCAAGCAGTTCACTGACATGCTTAACAGAACCTGAAAAAGAGTTAACCACCTACCTGGAGCTGGAGAAAGAAGGAAAGAGATGATCAGAAGCTCTTCCAGCATGCTGGTGGCTCCAGTGCCCCCCCTGCTCACTTGGACCTGGGCTGCCAGCTCTGTTCCTGCCTCCTCTCAAGTGAGACAGAAGGAAACTCCCTGGTTCATTCTTGTCGCTGCCTCAGGAAGTGTTTACTAAAGGTGTTGCACAACCTCGAAGCTGTGGTCCTGCACAATGGCACAGCAGGCGGAAGTCCCGGCTGCCTCCTGGCTCTAAGATTCTTTTATCATAAACCATTGTTTCTCTCTCCTTCTCCACACTTCCTACTCCAAAGTCGTATGTTTCTAATATAGTACTATAGCCTGGTATTTCACAAGGGCATAACTGCTTTGATAAATACATAATGTATATGATATATACATATACATACTCAAATATTTATTTTTATGTATATATATTTTTTGCTATGTTGGCAAAAAGTTACTGAGAATGTTATTCTTCCCTCACTTACATATGTGATTCAGTAGAGTGATTTCTAATTCAATCCAATTATTACGTAAATTTATTTTCCAATTATTTGTGTCCTATTCCTATTTCAAAATAAATATTATCCTGAAATAAGAATGTATGACAGTACGAGCACAGGTTTTTCAAATCCTCAAGGGTACTTGTATCATAAATGACAACCAGGAGTGGGGGGGGAAAACTTCAAGACCCAAAGGATGAAATTTCCAGAGAAATTTCAGGACCTGTCACTGGTGGAAGGAAGGCTAAATTGGGCACGTCCAGAAATCATATAAAATAACTAATATTAATCGAGCTGTTAAGTTCCAGGTACTTTCCTAAATCCATTATACTTCTTATCATATTAATCCTTATGACACTTCTGTATTATAAATACATTTTGTAGATGAAAAATTGGAGTTTAAAAATATAAAAAGGATTCAAAAGATTTTATCACCATTATTGGTCCAACTCTTTGCCAGAACACAAAATAAATGTCAGAATGAAGAACAATGTGCCTGAAAAATAGACATTTCATCATAGAGAAAACTCAGCTAACTAGCGTAGTAGAAAGAGAAAAGCATCAGGTAGCACTCAGAGCTTGTAATTAAACAAATTTTTAACAATGCCCCATGTATATCTACATTACACAAACAGGGTTGATACAAGGGTACTTCAAAAAGTTGGTGGAAAAATGCAATTGGAAATTAATACAAGCATTTCCATAAACTTTTTGAAGTACGCCTATATATGCATAAAATATCATTATTGTTTATTTATTACTTAATATATATGTATGCATACATATGTATGTGTGTGCTTATCTTGTATTTAGAAATAGCACTTCAGAAACACAAGTAGCATCACAAAGTATCAGTGCTGCAAAGGGAAGTGTAGGACAGTGTAAAATCGAATTTGAATTTTAGGACAATTAGTTTGGCAGCAATGGCTGAAGCCAGATTACTACAAAGAAAAGGAACTCATTGGAAGTGAAAACAGAAGAAGATAGGGTCTGAATTTAAGCAGAAGCAACAGGGATGGAAAGAAGGGGATATATTTGAGAAATATTTCTTGAGCAGGATTGGTAAGCCTTAGTTACTAATAAGATGTGGGGGCACTGAAATTAAGAAGAGTGCAATTTATTTATCCATTAAATATGTATTCAGTGTCTACTCTGTGCAACTACTGCACTTGGCTTTGGAGATTAAGCTTTGAACACAGAGACAAAAATTCACATGAGCATGGAGCTTAGAATCTAGTGGGAGTGGGAGGGTAGGAAAAATAAATGCTATGAAGAAAACAGCACTAGGTGATAAGTCCTGAAGGGACATCCACTGCTCTCTCCTGATGTTTCCTCCCATTAAGGGAGAAGGCTGTTCAGTAGCTCAACCTCTTGGTTCCTTTCTGTCCCTTCTCTTACTCTGCCAAGGGAAGTACAGAGACCCACCTGCAGGGCTCCTTCCTCTTTCCCTTGTCTTGGGGCACATTTCTGCTCTGCTCCCCCATCCTTCAGTGTCCAGAGGGCAGTGGAGAGCAGTTCTTGTACTCACGGGGACAGAGGAAGCCTGCCCTGGGGAGTTCCTAGGACATAGATGAGCCTATCAAATTCTGGGGGTCAGTGGCAGCAAACACTCTTTCCTAAAGTTATAACCCACATATTTTTATGTCCAGCATCGTGAATTATAAAGGGGTATTTCAGTCATTGTCTGCCTTAACTTTGCCTTATTTCTCAGATGATTCAGAGATCTGGTGGGGAAGATGAATGTTTTGAATGGATCTGTCTTAAAGCCCAACAAGAGGAAATAGGAAGGAAGTAGAGCTAGGGATACTTCCACCTCTGTCAGGAGGTAACATTTACATTGGGCTTTAAATGATGAGAACCCAGTCATTGAAAAATGTGCAGGAACAGCATTTCAGGCAGAAAGAACAGAACATGCAAGAGACTGAGGCTGAAGCATGCTCAACATACCTAAGAACAAAAGCCAGTCTGGTGTGCCTGGAGCCAGTGAAGGAGAAGAAAAAAGGTAGTTGGGGATGTGGGCTAAGGGTGAAATCATGTTGCTTCTGGAAGTATCTTATTGCAAGTATGATGGGAACCCTTGGCGCAACGTAAGCAGGGAGCAACAGGAGGTGTTTCATGTCATTTAAAGATTATCTGCATAGGAAAGAGAGTAACAGAATCAGAAAGAGATCAGAAGTGGAAGGGGAGAGACCAATTCAGAGGCTACTAAAACATGTGACCTGAGAAACAGTGGACCAGAGAGGTAGCAGTGAGAATAGAGGTCATGGCTCAGGTTAGGGACATATTTAGAAAGTAAAGATGCCCATGTTTGCTAGTGGTTTGACCTCCCTGATCTTTGTGTGGAAGTCTGAGAAGGTGATTACAGTGTTCCCTGAGAGAGGATTCACACAGTAGAGCGGGTGAAAAACAGTCAGTCCAGTTTAGGACACATTGCATACAGGTAGGCTAGCTAGCTGTTAATTCAAACAATAGGTCTGGAACTCAGGAGGAAGATCAATTCAAAAATAATATATAATATGTATCGAGGGTTTTTTTTATTGGTTATGAATATTCATGGGGTACAAAGTTGATTGTACCCCATGTACCACTCGTGCCCAAGATGTGCTGGCCAGATGCATACTGGCAGAATGCCCATTACCACAAATTGTGATTGTACCCCATGTCCCCCACCCAATTATCCCCAAACTCCTTTCCCATCCCCCCACCCCCACTCCACTTTGTATCCCTAGGTCTGCTCTCTTCCTCTGCAAGTCCGAAGCACCACTGTAGTCTTTCTTTCCTTCCTTCTTTCTCTCTTAGCTCCCACTTATGAGTGTGTATAATGCATTGAGTTTTTAAAATGTGATTTAACACAGTCTTATCCTCACAACATCCCTGTGAACTAGGTAATAGTTTTATTATTATTTTAAAGAGCAAGCCAAGGTAAAGAGAGGCTAAGTAAAATCATTCAGTTATTCTACAAAAGAAGCAAGATTTAAACTCAATCAGCATGGTGCAGGGGCAGGTCCATAAATCTGTACTCCACAGAGCCTTTCAAACTGCCTGGCATCACACAATCCCCAATAAATGTCTATGGATTAATAAACTACTAGGCTATCTTGTATTATTATTCTACACATAAAAAAGTATTTCTTCAAGTCCAGAAGAAAGAGCACCTTTTGTTAACCCTGTTCAGCACACCTTAAGTTATAACAATTCTCTGCGTTGAGACCGTAGTCATGTTCTAAAAGATTCCAGATGATAACCCACAGAAATAACATTTTTCTAATAGCATTTCTGGGAGGTATGATGGAGTAGTTTTGTTTAGAAAAAGAATCAGGTTTCCTAAAGTCACACTGAAAAATGTCCTCAGAGCAGAGATCCAGACTAAAAAACACCTCTCATTTCATAAGAATAATAATGACAAAAATAATTGTCATAGCTAATTCTTTGAGCACTTACTTAGTGCCAGAAATCTGGATAATGCTTTAGATACATGACCTCCTTTACTTCTCACAAAAATCTGAAGATTGCAGTAGTAGATGCCATTGTGGTTTCATGAGACACGGGACAGGACCTTGAGTTGGAAAACAACAGAAAGGTTCAAGTCTCCACTATTCCACTTGCTATACTGCACTGGGCATATAAGTTTCTCTCAAATCTTGGTTATGGATAAAATTAAGTTCTAAAGTCAATTAACAAATAATGTTCAGCAGTCTGCTTCATTAGAGTTTATAAGGATCGCATGGCATTACATAGTAAAAAGCATTTGTGAAATGTTTATTTTATTCTCCATTCTATACCAACTTCTCTTCATCGAAAGTCACCTGAAAAGAGGATTCTAACAAGATGATCCATTTTCAACATAGATTAAAAGTAGTAAAGGACAAAATTTGATCTGGATGCAAAGAGCATTAGTGCTTTGAACCCATGTTCCAAATTGTGCAGTTCCTCTCTATTATAATTTACAGGGTATCAGGAAAGCCTCTTCCCTTTCATATATGCTGATACCATTTGGAGTGTATCACACATAGCGTCAACAATTCTTCTAAAAACTCTTTGATGCATGTATCATAAATTCCAAGTTACACAGGAGAAAACTGAGACCCAGAAATATTAAGGGAGCTGTCCCAGAGACTGCTGCAGTCTCTGTGCAGGATTGTTTCATGGTGCTATTCACCAGCATAGTTGCCCAGAACCTAGCTCCAACCCTGAGGGGCACAGATCATGGGAGAAAATGACACTCCTCTTGGCATCCTGGCTGGGGAGAGATTGAAAGTGAAAGCACCCCATGGCGCCAAGCAGGAGACAAGTGATGAGGACTTGGATTCGCTGTGTCAGAGAAGAGCTGGCCTTGAGCAGCACCTTTTATTGGAGCTTTGTGAGGTGTTTCTTGGAGCAGAACATCTGCAGCACGTGGGATACCCTCTCTTACCATTTTCCTTCCTGGTGCACACCTTGAAAAAGAAACTGCTGGGAAAAAACAGACACAAAGGAATGAGGGCAGGGGAGTGGTTCAAGGTTTTAAACACCTTCTATTTATGGTAGTTGGCCTTTCCTTCTTTGGAGTGAATGGTCCAACAGTCTGGGAGTGGGAGGACAAAGGAAAGG